TTTTTATACAAGTGCTTGGTTATTCAATAAAGAAAATTATTTATCTTGAAACTTATTTATTTACTTATGAGTGAATACATAAACTTTTTAAATCTAACCAAACATGTCCTAGCCTTAATCTTCAGACAGGACTCGTGGAATCCGGTTTTGTCTCTACTCTTCTCCTCTTCCGGCCAGTTTTTTCCGGCGGGTCGGATTTTCCGGCATTCGACGGAAAGTTCAAAATCGCTTTCGAACCTCTCATCTTGAAGGCTGCACAGTCATAAGCTCTAGCTGCATCAATATCAGTGTCATAAGTCCCCAGCCATACCCGAGACCCTTTCCGGGTCGGGTCCCGAATCTCCGCCGAGTACTTCCCCCATGGCCTCCGCCGGACTCCTCTGTAACGCCTTCCAGCTTCAATACTCGACGTTATTTCACCTGACCCGTGAACGAAACAAATTTCTTCCGGGTGGGTTTTAGCTGGTTCCGTCGGAGGAGGAGGAGAAGTACTGGAAACTGAATCTTGAGCACCCAGTGAGGAGTTTTCGATGATTTGAGGCTTCATTTCGATTTCAAAGAAATCAGGTTCGGTTTTAAAGCAGGTGGAGAAGATTGAGTTGGGTTGTTTTGAATCCGAAAAGGATGCAGGGGAGGCTAATTTTTCTGGACCCGAAAATTGATCGTCGTAGAAGACATCGGAGAAACAAAGATTAAGGCTTTGAAGAAATGACTCTGTAAAAGTGAAGTCTTCAAGAAACTGTGGGCTAATGAGTTCCAACGTTAACGACTCGTTTGGTTCTTGTGTTGTCATTACAACATAGGTTGCACCAAAGTTCTGAAAATCGAATCTCTTTAGAAATTCTCGGTGAAGAGTAAACAGAGAGGACTATATGGGATTTTCTGTATACTGATTGTTGAAAAATGATGGTAGAGGCACAAACGATATACATATATATGTTAAGAAGGGTGAGGTGAGGTGAGGTGGTGTGGGGTGGCCTCACATTCTCAATTGATTGGACTATCACCAATTATATATTGATGTACATACATATGATGTAGCAATATATGATCGGTTCAAAATTTCTTCAATCAAATAAAAAAAAAATCAATGATGGTTGAATATGGTTAAAAACAAGGAAGTGTGGACACACTGAGTTGGCAACATTTGGTTGGGTGTTTATTCTTTTAAATTTTCAGACTGTCCATTCAAGTTTCGACGCATGTTCTCCCGATTTTTAACCCTATTTTTGTAGCATTTCTCATAAAAAAATAAACAAAATTCTTGATTCTCTTTCTGACACCTCATCTATCCGTAAAATTTTCGGTAATTACAAGTCGTAATATTCCATTTTCAACTTAGAGGATAATTGCGGGTCTCACGCTTTGCTGGTAATCGCAGTGTGGGGGTTCGATTCCTGAAATATGGAATTGGACTTCTTGTAGGCGCAGTGTACAGACAACTATTATTCCCTGACTTGCTAGGACACATCCGGCGATTTACCTTCTTCACAAAGCTCTAGAAACGGAGCGGTAGGGACCATCAAGGTTGTAGTTCAACCTTTATATATTATCTCTTATAGAATTTATTTTTATTATTTTTTTTTTGGCAGGATTGATTTACTGTTTTACGTTTCACTTCTTTGAGATGAACTTCTCCAGAAACCGGCACCATAAAATTTCTCCCACATTTCCTTCTCTAATTCAGCAGCATCCTCGTTCAATTCCAGTGCATTCGTCATCGCCACCGGGCCGGACATGGCGAGTATTTGAAGCTCCTTATCATCACAACTGTACTTTCGCGGCGGCAGCAACCCATTCTTGATCATCCTACGACGGCGCTTCCGCCGTAAAGCCTTGCGGCATAGCCCTGCTGGAAGTTTGTAAATGGCGAGCACCAGTAGATTTGCCAGCCCACATGGACAGCAACAGCACACCGCTGCGCATTCCGCCACCGTCCCGCCTGCAACCTCCGCCAAGCCGACTTCCGGCATCCACCTTTGGAGGAGGAATAATCTTGGTTCTCCTGCAAAAGCTGCCAGCGATCCACAGAAGGCGTCTCCGGACGGAGCACAATTTGCCTAGTCATATACAACTTTCTTTACAGATTTTCCTTCAGCCTATAAATTAAATTCTTCTGATATAAACAATATCAGGATCAAGAACAAGAACCAGAAAGCTAAGAAGAATTATGTAAAAGAATTATCAAAGAGAAGGCGCAAATAGAACGTTGCGCCATGGCTTGTGGGTGGCGCCGGAGTAGAGTTATACAGCAAATTGCTCAGTGGGGACTAAAGTTGTTTATAAATCAAGCAGCCCTCCGAAATGTTAGCAACAAAATTATTCCGTTATTGACGGATTCTCTGCTTTCTTCGTATGAGTAAATGAATATTGATTACTCATAAAAATGGTTGAATTGAAACCTGAGGTAAAGAGAGAGAAGGTGGAGTATGAAGATGGATATGTAACAGATGGAGAAGAGTATTTTATTGCAGTATTTGATGGTGATGAGGTAATTATTCAATTATTTAAGGTTAGAAAGACGGAGAGGCAAGGATACGTGAGGGCAAGGCAAAGGCAGTTCAAAGGGCTTTCTAGAGGCAGACAATACAAGGTTCAGGCATCCTCTCCTGGATGATCAAATACTTCGTGCTACTCTACATATAATAGCGATGGGGATTAGGGATGACAAAATATCTCAATCTCTGCTTTGATGGGACGAGAATTCAACCTTCGTTGGAGAATTGGCACTAACAGAATACTAAATAAAATTCTTGTCGACATGAGGAGTTTGGAGGTCAATACAACATAAATTATTGGATTCTTTTTATTTTATTTTATTAATTACGTTATACGTACTAATAACCACAGGCTACATAAAACTAAAAAT